ATTTTTTATTATAAAAATTTAAAGCTTCATAAATAGTATAGATTGAGTAGATCTATGAAAACTTGAGAATCTTGAAAAATTGACGATCCAAAAATGCTTTTCAAGATGTACTATTTCCAAAACTTGGAATCCATTTTTTATCATGTCCATGCATCTTGATGTCGAGATGATCAATTTGAAGATATTTGTGCATCAAAACAACTTCTTATAATAAATGTTTTTATGTGGGTTCTAGTTTGATTGTTTAGAGCCTCGGCTCTATATAAACTTTTTTTTTTTTGAGTATAGTAAAAGATACTATTTTGGTTAGTCAGCGACTCACCTATTACTGTGTGATCCCTCGTCCATCTAACATCCATCTCTAATATGGATCATGGATGTCACAAATTTTACATCCACTAAAAGTTAAAATGAATGAAGAAAGGAATTTAAAAAATAATATTCATACTTATTGAAAAAAAAAATCCAAATTTAGGTCATCATCAAGGTTGAGATTGAGATGGTTGAACTCTAAAATTTTGGATCGAAAGGACATCTTTGAGATATATTTAATAGAGAGATTGCACAAGAATATTATGAGTCGACTGACTCATCAAACACTTTCCCTTTGGTAAAAGGCATTGCACATGGCGGCTGGGTTACTTGGACGTGGTCAAATTCAAAGATAATTAAAAGGGCACAGCATTGTGTGGTATTGCGTCCACATATCGAGTATGCTGAAAAAGGAAAGGTGCACAGACACCTTTTAAGGGTTCAGATTGGACCAGTACGATCTGAGGGCCAAAAATGAAATTTATATTTTTACTTTTAATTTTATTTAAAGTTCATATCAATATGAAATTTGAGTTTTAGCTTCATTTTTTTGGGTAGAATTGAATAAAAATATTTTCAATAAAAAATATTGCTCAAAATAAATAGAGGTATTTTAGTTATTTTTATTTTAGTTATGTTTAATCATTTTTATTTAGTTATCTTTGTAAAAATAAACCTACACCCCTGAATTTATATAAATATTATTTAATAGAAACAAAAAATATAAATAAAATTAGTTTTTGGTTATTAGATAAGGGAAAAGCTTGCTCTATACCACGGATATAGAGAATACATATATGGTACCCCTCTCCTAGCCGTTCAATCTAAATGGATGACTGAGATAGCCACAATCACAATGTTTATTTTTAAAAAAAATATACAAGTAACATTGCAACAAATTTGGGGCATCCAATCCTCTCGTAGGCAGAAAAATATCAAAATAATATTTTTAAAAAATAGAATAACTAAAATACCCTCAAATATTTTAGGGGCAGTGTGGTCTTTTTATTTTAATGAAAATATCTTCTAATATTTTTCTAGATGCGCTTCATTGAGAAGATCAAACACATCTAATTTCATGTTTGAATGATTTGTAACAAAAAACAAAAAACAAAAAAAAAATACTTTAAGCTAGTAAATTTAGATCAAATAGTCAAGGCTCACTTGTGACATAATGGCTAAAGGTATCCCAGCTATTCATTCAGATCCAATGGTAAGAAGAGAGGGGCATATATAAATTCCCCATACCTAGAGGAGTACATCAGATTGGCACTTTTATCAATAGTTCTGAGGCAGGTTAGACATTTGGAGTGTCGTATCGGCTTCTTTTTTCAATAATATTGCCGATGCTAGTCTAACACTTGGAGAATATATATATGTGTATGTGTGTGTAGGGGGGGAAGATACTACAAAACGCCTATCGGAAAAAATGAACAGTGATTCCGCCTACCCTCTTCACCATCCAAACTTTATCGCATGATCACAGTTGTCCGGTAGTATTTTATTTTTTATTTTTATTTTACTAATAAGAATGACTAAAATTTGGAGCGTGTGTACATCTTAATGAGACGCACCTAATAAAAATATGAAAAAAATAATTCGTAAAATATAAATTGATCAAAATACCCCCATAAATTTTCAAGGTATTTTGATCAATTTATATTTTGCAAATTAGTTTTTTCATATTTTTATTCGGTGCGTCTCACTAAGATGTACACACGATCTATATTTCAAGTAATTTGGATTTGCAGAAAAAAAATAAAAATTGAAACAATACCGGACAATTGTGACCATGC